TATCAGATGGCTTCATAGAAGGTAGAATGATGAAAGGTTATTAATTAATAAATTCATTGTTATTAATAATATTTTATTATTAATATTATACAATATAATATTATTTATTACTTAATATTGTTTACGGAAAACTAAATATTTTCGTGAATATTAAATTAAATTTCCCAATAAACTCAATGGAAACTTATTTTTCCGTTTTTCTATTCACGCCTACCACAGATGAAATATGACTAAAGTTACTTGATCTACTTTTTGAATTTTATTGTATATTTGACTTAATTTAATATAATCAGAAATATTAGGTTATATTGAACAATATTTATATTCGAATGTTATATTAGTCAATCAAATTAAAATATTTAAAAATGGAAGTTTATTTGGGCTTTAGAGCGTGAATAACCCCAGGGTCATTTATTTTTGTTCACAGGAGGTTCACACTCCTTAGAAAAAGGGGGGGAGAAAAAATAGTGAAATTAAATAAATAAATAAGAATAAATGGTAAATAAATAACAAAATTATAAATAGGTAATAGATAAACAAATAAAAATATATGTCTATATTTTGTTAAATAACTTATGGATTTTAAGGAAACTTACAAATGATTTTATGTTTGTTATAATTCAATATCACTGATATATCTAAGAGATAATCTATATAAACTTGATTTGAAATAGGGGCATTCCAGTATTGCGATGTTGGAGGTGGCTGTTTATTGACAAGATATAAATGAGTCAAAGTTGTATGATCTATTCTTAAACTAGTCAAGGCAACCTCTTCTCTGCGATTGGAATGGTTTGATGTGGTCGAGGGCTATAATGGTATAAAAATGGAAGTATTGTTTGTTTTTTTCAAAAACTTTCTAAATCGACACTGAATCTGTATATATATTTTTTTTTACACAGAGCTCTAATATGGTAATTGGTCCTTATTGAATTTTTACATTTTAGTATTCAAGTATTCCAAGAAAAATTCTTTAAAGGACCCTCGCAGGAAGGACAGTGCTCCCATTATCAGCATTACAAGGAAACTCCGCGGCTTATCTTAACCGTTCCCATTTAGGCCCTTAATTTTACCTCCCAGAGCTTTGCCGCAAAGATAAATACTCTATAAATATTTTTTTATTTAATAATAATACTAATATAAATTCATTTGTGGAAAGCTTATTATTTTCTGCAAAATGATTATCCGACAATAATTTTTTATATATGCAATTAAATTTTAGTATATATTTTTAAAGGGCAAACATAATATTCGTTTTTTTTTTTCTACAATAAAACTGACATTACTCATTTCAGATATGCTTATGCCTGGGTTTATATTCCGGATAAATACCGTTAAAATACACCATTGGATAGCTGAAAGTCTTAGAAAAATTGATATCTAACATACGAAACCGTTGACGAAAAACTTTAAACAAAAATCTATAGTTTTCTTTGAAATTTTTTTATAATATTGTCGGTTTAACCGCATCAATATACAACATATATTAATTCAATAACAATCAGTTATATAAATAGTCCAAATTTTATTTTATAAATTTTTTTTTATTGCATAACAGCATTTTGGTTAAAATTAATGTAAAATTTTTCATCTACCGTTAGCATTATATTTTATTTAAAAAAAGATATAATTAATTTCATTAATGAAAAAATCATAAAAAAATAAATTATAAAGCCGCAAGTCTCCAACATACAGTTGAAAAGTTTAATTGTCTAAAATTAATTTCATTAATGGAAAAATCATAAAAAAATAAATTATAAAGCCGCAAGTCTCCAACATACAGTTGAAAAGATTAATTGTCTAAAATTAATTTCATTAATGGAAAAATCATAAAAAAATAAATTATAAAGCCGCAAGTCTCCAACATACAGTTGAAAAATTTAATTGCCAACGTTTCGGTAATTTAGGTATCATCAGGGCAGAGAAAACAAGATCACATATACTATAACGACTCTTTCCACTAGGATTTAGTCCGTCCGGTGCTGCTCTCTATAGAGAAGTTATAGGCTTAAAACAGAAGCTTACGATAAGCCAATGTAACCCACCACTTAAGCGCTCTGTACCTTATCTTGTCTTATAAATCGTAATTTTAGTTAGAAAATAACTTTCTATTTTATTTATTTTTGTTGTATTGCTCTCAGCGGTAAGCAGCCTATTTTATTTTTGAATTATTGTTAAATAATAATAACGAATTCTTAATTAATTGTTTCGTGATATTGGTAATATGTTCTCTTATAAGAAGTAAATATAATTGTTGCTGTTAGTTCCTTTGAAAAAGTTTAACTATCTGGACCTAATCCTAAACCATATCACAATATCGAGAACGAAAAAAAAAACTGAACAGGAAAACTATGGTTGCTATTGACATTCAACGTTTTTAATTTTTTTTCCCGTTCAGTTTTTTTTTTTCAATCTGGATTTTGTTTTTCTAATAATGCCTGAATTACCGAAACGTAGGCAGGTAAAATTTTATGTTTGAGACTTTATTATTTGGATTTTTCCATTTACAATATAATAATTTTGTATCTTTTCTTATTTTTTATTAGGAAGCCTACGTTTATAATTTTTTCATATTTAAGACAATAAGAATTCCATTTTTCTTCAAAAATTTTTAATTAGTTTGTTGTCTCTTACGTTTCGGGACAATTTTCCCATCATCAGAGCAATCTTTATCTTTATTTTATTTTTTTGATGTGGCACCATTTGTCAAAAATCAAATATTTGTCACATTTTTTTAAAACTATTTTTTGGAGTTACACATCTTTACATATTCATTGATACACAAATCAACCAAAAAAAGATAGCCAGATGTTGATTGGTGTATCAATGAATATGTAAAGATGTGTAACACCAAAAAATAGTTTTAAAAAATGTGACAAATATTTGATGTTTGACAAATGGTGCCACATCAAAACAAGAAAGTAAAAATAAAGATTGCTCTGATGATGGGGAAATAGTCCCGAAACGTAAGAGACAACAAACGTAATTAAAAAAATTTGAAGAAAAATGGAAATATTATTGCCTTAAATATGAAAAAAAAATCTTAAATTTCATAAATAATAATAATAAAATATTAAATAAATCTATTTTAGTAGAAATTTAATTGTACTATGTTCAGTGAAAGTTGTGCGATTTTCACACGGAACCATATTCCAGCAACGCTCTCTATCTGTAGGATCCTGTAATTCAGTGCCTCTTTCAGGGAGAATGTGCTCCGGACAAGAAATGTGTTGGTGGCTTAAGCCCCCGAAGGGAATAGCCATAGAAAAATAAAGAGAAAGAAATAGCCCGCGATAATATATAGAGCGATAATGTAGAGTGCTATATATAGAGCGATAATGTATAAAATATCTAAGAGGACAAATGGCCTGAAGTATCCTTTATTGCCGTTAAATATGGAGGAGGAGCATGTGTCTGCTTTACTGGCGGTTTCCCTCATCCTTATTGCCCCTTTTATAAAGCTGCCACTGTCTAATGCTTTCGGCTTCTTTCTGCTTTCGGAAACTTTTGGTTAGCTGTAAATCGGAACGGCAGACATGGAGGAAGCTTGTCCTGGCTGGAGTAGAGGAAACGGCCCTGAAGTATTGAGAGCTGGAACCGACGGCCATTTTCTCTCTCAGGCTCTGTTACTATATAGGACTCGAATGCTACTTTATTTTTCAAAATATTGTTTTCTTTAAACTACGAATATATTTGTGGGTAAATGGTTGACTCGTGAATAATGAAGAGAAGAATAGTTTGGGTGATCACTCAAATAAGACGGCAAAAATAAATGATAATATTTATTTTGACATTTGCCGACGTTTCGACCTGACGTTCAGGCCTTCATCAGGGCTAAAAAAAGAACCAAATAACAAGGTATGAGAAACATGAATAATGTAGGTAAAAAAAAATTAAAGTAAAATAATATTTTATTCTAAGATTCCCATTTTAATACTTATATCACCTTTTTGATTATGTTAATTTCATCATTCCACACTTTGTAGCGGTTATTCTTATTTATCTCTTAGTTGTTACTTGTAAATAAGTATGAATGTGTTCTATTTATTTATTTATTTAATGTTGTATCATGTTTGATTAATTCTGTTACTCCAAGTTTTATTTTATTTTGTTATAATCTTGTTTTTCTTTTATTGTATACATGGTATGTTTGTGTTTCATTCATCCTAAATACTCAATGCCCTTAATTGAGGCAAAATGTATTTTTTTTTTCTCAATAAAATATTATATAATAAAAAATAAAAAAATGTTCTGACTATTGTCATTATTCTACCAACTTCATTTTTTTTTTTTACCTACATTCTTTATGTTTCTCATACCTATTGTTATCTGGTTCTTTTTCTTAGCCCTGATGAAGGCCTGAACTTCAGGTCGAAACGTCGGCAAATGTCAAAATAAATATTATCATTTATTTTTGCCTTCTTATTTGACTGATCACCCCAATTATTCTTCTCTTCATTACGAGTATATTTATTTATTCAGACATTTTAAATTATTTATTTCTTATTTATTTAACGACTTTTACAACTCTAGTCATATGTCGTCACCAAAAATAAGTCTTTGCCTTTTTCTTATTAATATAAAGATATTACTGTATTTTTTTAGATAGGACAAACCTAACTAAGCCCGAATGAAAAAATAGAGTTGATTGCATTATTACATTATAAAGTATTAGTAACTATTTTGACTTAATTTTTATTTTTAAAACTCAATTTTTTTTTTACCAGTCCTGGTCTTGGTCTTGCAACAGTTAGGCGGCTTTGGTCTTGGTCTTGGAAAGTTCAAGACCAAGACCGATTTTGGGCAACACTACTTTTGTCTAAGTTATTAATATCTCCAGTATCCTATATTTAATTTCTCTTAAAAAAAAAACAGTTAATTAATACTTGTTGAATTACTAATTAATCGATTTTTCAATAATATAAAATCGATCTCGAACTAGAGTAGCCGAAGAGCTATCGATTCCCGCCCGCTGCTCTAAATTTAGAAGTGAGAGGTTGATGCGGGGCCGCTGGCCGGACGTCAAAGGTAAACTCATCATAGTAATCAGTCAACCGGGGCAAAGCCTGTCAACAGAGGGCTGCCTGGAACTACTGGGACTGCTGGAACTGGAGAGCTGGAGAGCTGGAGGAGGAGGTTCAGGCGGAAAATACACAGTCGGGATTACTTACTCAGCGAGTCGACTCATCTCGAACCAACTACCTTTTTCACTATTTTTATTTTGTTTCCTTTCTCATTAACCAAGTTCAGTCTTCTCTAATTTGCTTAGTTGGTGTGGCTTTATCTTGTTTTCCTACATCGATTTTTTTTTATAACTTATAACCTTCATTTTGATCTGTTAAAGAAATAATATTCAAGAAATCATTGAATTTATTATTGATGAAGTACTATTGCTTCAATTTCAGCAGTAGCCAACGGGAACTACTTCATAATTTGGTTTTGTTAGATGATGTAAAGTGTTTGAGGCCTTTATAGGATTTTTATGTATTATTAGAATTATTCTAAAACTTCTAAATTAGAATTTTCAAAACCGTTATCCTACCTATGATTCTTTATGGATGCGAAACGTTTTGTTCAGTTACTTCCAAGTAAATCCAGAAACGCAAAAGAAAATATTTTAAAATCTTACACATCGAATTCCTATCATATCCAATCCTTACAATCCAAAATCCTCCGTAAAATCCTCAATGCTCCATACTTTGGCACAAATAAAACCATTCATAAAGACCTTAAGGTACCATATGTCGCTGATTTAGCTCGAGCCAGATATCTATCATTTCATGATAAACTTCAGTCCCATCCAAATCCGCTTGTTTCCACTCTTGCTTCTTCCTCGATCCCTGACAATCCTCCTAGGCGACTGAAAAGGAGATGGCCTCGTGATCTGCTTACTTAAAATTATTTAGAGAGTGCTACCACCGGGTAGTATCTCTTCAAGCCTGTACATGCCATTATTTATATTTGCGCATATTTACTAGTTGTATTTGTATACAGTTGTAAATTTCATTAAATAAACATAAAAAATCTTACAACTGTCTGAACATATATATATATTTAGTTTTAAATATCCAATAGTATATTTGTCCGTTTTATAATAATCATGTTGAATTTGTAAGAACATACTAAAATATGTTAAAGCTGAATGCAGAGACTAAAGTAACTAAAACTAAAGTTATTCTCATCGAGTCCTCGACATCTCATTATCTTTCGGACATTTTCCCTTCCCTACTTTACCTCAATAGCCGTCTGAATTTTTTTTTCCTACAGTGAAAAATCTAGGAGTAACCTTTGACTAGAACCTCTCCTGGAATAACCAAATCTCACATATTCCGTCATTGTATTTATCAAAAACTAGGCAGCTCCTTGTGATCTCCCTGATATCTTCCACTTCGACTTCGACTACGGTTTATGTAGAACTACCTGCCAGGCTAGAAATAAAATTAAAGAAGCTCACGAACTGTTTCATAAGATAAATCTTTGAGATCTCCAAGCGTTTCATTTATGTACATCGAGTTGAAGTGCTTTCTCCTACTTCCCGACGACAATTCCTCCTTGGTGTTTTCCTTTTCCAAGTCCTCCGAACCAAATCCCTCCCTACATCCTGGAATTCCTTACATTACGTCCCTCTATCCACTCTCTCAATACCAGGTCTCAATCTATAGATTTATAAATACCCTCCCATAAAACCTCTTCCTTCAGCAATTCCTTTGTCAAAGTCTCCAAATAATATTATTAATGATTTGACTAATACTCATTTTATGGTCCCCCCTCTATTTTATGAAAATTGGATTTAATTTTTATAAAAACAAATATGCTCGAAATTGTTTAGATATTTTTGATGTACTTGTATTAATATGTATTTTTCCTATTTTGATTATATATTTTTTAATAAAGGAAATATTCATTCAGTATTTTTAAAATACGTACATACATTGAAGGGTTGATCATGTAATAGTTTCTAATTTAAATTTTAACACTGCATTAATGAGAGAAAACAAATAAAAAATGATGATGATTCATTAAGAGTTGCTTGTTTCCACCCATACTGCGATGCTGGTAGCGGAGGCGAAAAAGTCCTGTGGTGTTCCATACGTGCTACTCAGAATAGGTGAAATATCACCATTATTGGCTTAATTACTAATAGAATATCATGTAAAATTTTTATTTTTCACAATTTCTTGGAATTATAGGTGCCCTAATGTTAAATGTTGTACAGTGGTGACCTTATAGCTTCTCCAAATGAAATTCTTAATAAAGTTACCGAAACTTTTAATATTACTTCGAAAAAAGATATTGAATTTATCTATCTTCATAAATGACATTGGGTAGAAGCTCCTAGATATCCATACTTTACTCTGTTGCTATAGTCAATAGGATCTATCATACTTGAAATTGAAGCTCTATTTGCTTATCTTCCGGGGGGCTGTAATCCCAGAATAAAATTATTTTTTCATTTCATAATTATTTTTTTGTCAATCGCCCTCCGCCCCAATCAAAATGAATTCACTTCCTACGTCCCAGATAGTGTATAGTGTCTCTCTTAGGGAATTGGGTTGTTTTCTATATAAATTGGAAGGCAAGTATTTCTTCGAAGTGTAAATGTAATTTTTCGATTTATCGTAATTAAGTCGAACTTTCCATTATTTATACCAGTCCTGTTTGTTTGTTTAATTTTATAAATAAAATATGTTTTTAACTTAGGTGAGTTCTTCATTCCGAAAGACATATATCGAGTTTACCTGTTAGTAATGATAAGTATTGACATCAATAATGCCAGACATACCAAATATATCAATTATTACATCTGCTTATGGGCTTAGTAATTAAAAAAATAAATAATTCCATCAACAGCAAGCTAACTAACAGAAACAGCTGTGAAATACGTCATGACTAACAGTATACTGCTTTAGTCTTTAGGGGTGAATATATTCCGATGAAAAATAGGAAAAATGAGACGAGAGCGGGAAAAAAAATTGGGCAAAAGGACACATTTGCGACGGGTTAATCTTTCACCCTAATGAGGTGTCCCCAACCCGAATTAATTGATACCAAGATCAATTTCCATTGGCGCCATCGAGAGCTCTGTATGGTCTCCTGCCATTAATCACATCGGCAACGTCGATGAAAAATAGTCCGGGCCTTCCCTGCATTATTGAGCAAGCATTGTCCACTGCTCCCTGGCAGCATGCGGCCCTGTCCTCTCATCCTGGTGTATGTGATTGTGTGCCGTGTGCCGTCCGGGCGGCACGGGTGCTGGGCAATCAAGTGAAGATTACTGAATAAGGAGGTTAATAATCAAATAAATACTTTTACTTTCACTTACATATATAGATAGATAGATAGTTTATTTTATTTGTCTAAGGAAATTCCTGTACAAATAAATGTAATGGTATAATTAACAATGTTATATCTTGAGTCTAGTACTGCATTCAAATATAACATTAACAATGTCCACAGCATTAAGTATGACTAATATAATAACAGATTAGTAAACGATATATATATATATATACATAACAATTAGTAAAACATATTTACTATATTATATTACTATGAGAGGTATAAGACAAATGACAATATAAATAAGCATTAATATGTGTTATATGATTAACTTTACCACTTAACAGTTCAATGAACAGCCCTGTATGAAATAATACAGTTGGTTTATTTTTTTCGTAGTGTCTATTTTCAGTGTCTCCTCCACACTAGCATCTTCTCTGGATTCAGTGATAAATGCCTTCAAATACTTATTTCTTGGCTCGTTGAACTTGATACATTGGATCAGGAAATGAGTTACCGGGTCAGTTACAAGGCAGTTGCATGCACCACATACCTCACTGGATTTAATAGTCAAAGTAGCATCTTTTAAGTATATTTTCATAAAATATTTATTTGCTACTCTGAGACGACTAACGGCTCTTAATTTGTTTAAATTCAGAGCCCTGAACTGAAGATAATCCTCTGGTCTGGTAACATTAAAGGAACTGGTCTGGTAAATTTTCTAAAACTAATATACAATTATATAGTATTAACAATATGTATGAGGATGGTATAAAATTTTTTTATATATGCATTATTTTTTTTTTTTTTTTTACTATTTCATTCATTCATTTATCAGTATTCTGTATCCCTTTGTCTTCCTTCTCTCCCCTTATATATTTTTCTTACTCCTTATATTCTCTCCTTTCTCTTCCTAACCTAATTCATAAAAACAAAAATTAAAGTTAGTAAATTTCGTTTAATTTTCTTGAAAACGTGTGATTTCCATTAGCTAAAATTATTACTTATGATTTTTCGTCACTCTCCATTTTCTTCTACGACTTTCTGTACTAAGGGTTTTTTTTCCTGCACTTTCCAACGATGTATCTTATACTTATACTTTTTGACTAGTATTTCCGGAGATTCTTTTTTGACTTAAATAAACATTTTCCTATTTTCTCCTTTATTAACTTATCAAATACTTTCAAAAGTTATATTTACATTTCTTCTTAACTCATAACAATGATAGATAGTTAATCATTTAAAATAAACTACATTAAAGTTACTTTAGAGAAAGGCATGTTGAACATTGGGCATTTAAACCCTGTAAAGTGACATCAATGAAGATAAGATCTAAATGATATTAAAGACCATTTAATTATACAATGACACACTGAATTTAATCAAAATGATTAGGCCGTTTTTGAGTAAATTGTAAAAATTTGTTTGACCGTTGAAATAAAGTGGCACTTGCGATGGGCAATTTCAGTTTCGTACGACTTTTTTTTTTTAGCTAGACTATTCATATACACACAAACCATTCTGTGGGAATTTGTTTTTGGACTCAGGAGAGCTCAAAAAGTGTATTATCGTTGAAAACGCAAATTCGAAAATTTTCACTATTGCAATATTTCCTCATACTGTACATAACATATATAGCTAAGTAATTTTTTTTTTTTACTAATAATAATAGTCTGTATTGAGATATATTACAATCTGTCACATTCAAGGACAATAGTAATAGTGATATACAGTAGCTCATTCATACTATGCTCAATAAATAAAAATATAAACTAGAAGATACTAAACAAAACGAAAACAAACTAATCTAACAAAGTAAATACTTAAATACACACATGCTCTTATACAATATTTACAATATTCAGTCACACATTATCTCCGAGCCAAGACTTTTCCCACACTCATGGAGGGAAAGGCAGAACTCTAGGAGATCCCAGCGTCTTTCACTCAGCCGCGTCATTGATATTACCAATGGAGGCTGAGCAGAGACACTATTACCAGACATACACGGCTTGAGTAGAGGATCTGGCCTGAACTCCTATATATTCTTACAAGTCTCTGGGCCACTGCCGCTTCAACCTTCGAGGAGGATTGTAGGGATGGCTGGAGGTAGATAGGGATTGTGCAATTGGATTTCGATGACATGTAAGTTTTTGGTGGAATTTGGAAAATTTTTGAAGGATAAGGCCTAGGATAAATGGGATATTAAGGTCATGGTGTAGGGTGGTAAGTGAAAATAAGAATTAAATTAAATTACGAAATAAATTGAAACGAATTCAATAAGATTCAAATTGAAATATTTATCTTTTGGGCAGTATATATTAGCTGATGTATATATATATATATATATATATATATATATATATATATATATATATATATAATATATATATATATATATATATATATATATATATATATATATATATATATAATATATATATATATATATATATATATACAATGAGCTGTTTCGAAATACAACGAGCTCTTTGGACCTTTCGAGTACTCTTATATGCATTCCCAATTGAGCCACTTCTTCTCATTTCAATTTCTCCGAACAGAGGGACTCACAGACTCGGCTATAATTAACTAAGTGAACGGCCATAGCGGAGCAGCAGTGGGGGGAGGTATATTTGCAGACAACCTGTACCCCACCCCATCTTATTCCACTAATAGAATCATCCTTCAACATCCTTTTCGCTAACAACAAGAGAGTTAGAGCAACATTTAATAATGGTTTAAGTCTTCACAATTAATTCCCTTCCAGGGAGCCGACGTATATTTAACTTCAGCCTCCTTCATTCTTATAAAATTACAGAACCCCTTAATTCACTGTTAGGAGAAGGCGAAATTCACTTTGACTGCTTTTTGAATCTGTCCAGGGCTAAAATGCAATGTTTTCTAAAACGTTTATAAATAATTAATTACTAATCTAATATTTAGCAATATAATTCGTACATTATATTGTTCATTGATCGGATTGGAAAAATTAATAATAAAATAAAATAATGCAACCTATTATAAGATAGAGAAATTAATTGTTACTTTATCGCTAATTATAATCGAACAAAGAAACAAAAAAAAAATATTTTTTTTATTATTTTTTAAACTCACACCTGTTGGGAAGAAGAGTATGCAAAGAGATGTTTGGTAGGACTGAGGGAAAGGAGTGCCCCGCAGCGTCCCTTCCTAACTTGATTTTATGTTTATAGTTAGTGGAGGAGATCTCTCATCCAGCTTCTTTTGAGCCTCCTACAAAATCGGGAATGTAGGTTGTTAGCATGCCTTAAATCGGTGAATTATGCCCGTGTAAGTTATTGTGTAATATGTTCGTATGTGGTCGGTAACTGTTGGCATCTGTAGGTCTTACACTTGCAGCCTTAATACTTGTTATCCTTCAACGTAACAGATTATATTATCATTCAATAAACAAAATAAAAATAAAAAAGAACTATATGGTGTATGGGATTATATACCATATGACATATACCATAAGATCCTTATGGTATAATAAACATATGATGGTATGGTTTACAAATATGAAAAATGGTATGATAAACATATTAAATGATTCTTGATGGACAGAATTTGTTTACCTCGCCAAGGATCAAACTCGGCTCTATCCCGCACTATTGTACTGTCATACGGGTTAAGTATCTCGTAGCGCCTTTCTATTCCTATATGTACTAAGGAGAAAAATAGTGTATTGTTATATATATATATATATATATATATAAACATAACTATTTAGTTGGGAATAATGTCACTTATTAATTATTTAATAAACTACTGAATGTTCATTTCCTCTATGTTTATTGACGTTTCGATCCCGGCATTTTTCCTTTTATAAGTTAACGATAGGATCCTCTTCAAAGCTAGAATTTTAAAAATAGAACTTTTTAAATAACCTGGCCTGATCGAAGCTCTATTTTTAAAATTCTAGCTTTGAATAGGACCCCATCGTTGACTTATAAAAGGAAAAATGCCGGGATCGAAACGTCAATAAACATAGAGGAAATTAACATTCAGTAGTCTATTAAATAATTAATAAGTGACCTTATTCGGAACTAAATAGTTATGTTTAAATTTAATATTCAAAGGTCGATTAAGAAAAAGTTGTAAATACATATTGTAATATATAATATATATTGTAAAAGTTGTATACATCTAGGCCCTTTGTAATATATATATATATATATATATATATATATATATATATATATATATATATATATATATATTACAATATATAATAAAATATATAATAATATATAAAAAAAATAAAATATATAATAAAATACTCTATTTTACCGACGTTTACGACGTTTATAGACTGATTTGTTCTCATATTCATTTCCTAAAATGAAAAAGATTTTCTAGAGATATATTTTTCAAGGAGTCATCAATATCTTATTTAAAAGAATATATATTTTTTTCTACCCCACTCACTTCTACTCACTTAAACTCACTTCTACTAAAATTGCCAGCTAATATTGCTAATACTAATATTCACATATTTCCTAAAATACACCAAACAGTTATTGAATATTCTTTTTTTTTAATACTGATAATAATAATCTATTAAGGTGAACGCACCAGTCATGGGCAGAGGATCCAGTGACAATAATTTCCTTTAAATATAAATAATAAGTTTCTATGTTGATTTAAAGGTTCCAGTTTTTCTATTTTGAAGAAAGAAAAATTTAAAATGCCTATCATTGATAGTTGTTTCTATATATATTTCTTAAGATCAATGTGTTTCATATCTTCTTGCTAACATTTTACTAAGAGTAACTTTAACATTTATCTTATCTTATCTTTGTCGTTATCTCTATAGTTTAATGAAGGTTTTAGAATTTTTCTATTACTAGAACAATTGAATTTCGGAGTGTCCATCACTATGCAAAAAGGTGTTGCTTTTTTTTTAATGCAGATTATCTCTTCATAAGTGGCTATATTTTTTTTAAGTGTTGAATAGAAATAGAAGATCCTAGAGATTCTAAATGTCCAACGAAAAAGTTTATAGCTATAATCATTACGGTGGCATAAGGTAAATAAGACAAACATTCCCTTTGCTATTTCCAGAAATGGCGTGCTTACCTATTTCGAATTGGTGTTTACGTAAAATTTGTAACAAAATTTGCAATTAAATGTAATATCGAACTATTTAGAAATACAATAAACAAAACTCTACATTTGTAGTTTTTTTTTATGTAAGATTCATAAAGAAGGAAATTTATAATACAAGATTAGTAGTTTCTTTAAACTATTTTTAAAATTTATATTTCAATAGTTGTTTCCTTCCTTATAGTTTTTAATAATACAAACAAAACGAAAAGTGTCCTTTTGATAAGGATCCTGAGAGATGGTCAGATACGAGTCCACTAAGAGTTGCTGTAAGAAGTTGAGGTTAGGACGCGGTGGTGGGGGACAGCCGCAGGCGCTTGCCGAAGGGGCAGATATTGGAGGAAGCGGAAGTCACGTAGAGTCCTGGGCCGTCTTTATCGTGGAAATGAGGAACGTGCTCAACTGCTCTATAGATCCTCCAATCACAGCCATTGATATTCGCTTTGTTATTGCGCCCCC